GCAGCCAAAGCAAATCCTGTCGATAAGAGAAGGGGGAACTTCTCTCACCCCGTGGCTGTGATTACAGCTCACAGCCTGGCTCCGATATCGGCTCCTGGTGTTGTGCAAGAGTGGAAGAGTTTGTTCTCCTTGCCTGGGTATTTCATCACACCCCAGCCTGTGCTGGTATATCTTGCTTTTCAGTGACGTGAACCACCATCCCCTTCATAAGCTGGCAAAGACTTGCTTTCTCTTCTGCAGCCCTGGTACGTGCCACACAAGCCCTGACACTCAGTAATGGAGAACCTGGGCTTTAGAGCAGCTCGACAAAAGCAAATCCCACAGTCCCACTGGCTGCAGAGGACTTGCTGCAAGAGTAATCCTGTGCCCTTCTGGCTCATCGTTATCAGGGGAATGCAGGACCTCTGTGTTTATCATTTCACCCTGACATTTTTCTCTCCACCAGATCAGATTTAAATGAAAAATATTTTTTTCCCCTCACCTTTATATTTCAGAGGGGAAAACTTTTCTACTTTATTGTGGAGAGCAGAGGAGAAGAGGCAAAATGATGCCACACCTTATTACCTACTGGCACTCAGCTTGAGGGTTTGGGGGTTTTTTTGCAGAGTTCTCAGGGTTTGATTCCAGCTGGGAAGCGATAGGGCTCACTCGCGGGCTGTTAGACCTGGAGCCCTGCTCTTCCAGGAGACGCATCCCTCTGGCATTACACCATCAGCTCTTATTTGAGCAAAGCCCTTCCCGAACGCTCTGCTTCCCGGGAATACTGCTGAGCGCATACATTCCCCTCTCCCTAGGATCCCCTGCAGCCCGCAGCACTCTTAATTGATTCAATTAGGATATTATCTTATGAGTTTCCTGTTAATGAAGAAGCTGTCTGCCAATGTGTTAGCTGTTGATACAAAGCTGCTTTTGACAGGCTCGCTCTCCCCGGGTGGCCCCGCCAGCGTTATCACCCCCTCTGTTAATGGAGAGCCCGGCCACGGGCACAGCGTGCTCCCAGGATGCGCGCAGACCTTCAGCCATGGCTCATTGTGGAAAGACTCACTGCATGGGAATTTCTGGGTTAATAAGAAAACCAGCTAATTGATAAGATAAATTGGTGGTGGAGATAAATGGATAAATGTGCCCTATCCTGACGTGCCGTTGTGGGGAGCCCAGCTGCGGGTTGGATACACTGGAGGGAGCCAGGGCCCGGCAGCCGTGTGATCACCCTCCCGTCCAGCATTACTGCGAAGGAATTGGGGACAAGTGTGCTAGAACAGCTTCCGGCATAACAAAGGCACGCCAAAATGCTTTAAACTGCTGTCACTCTAATCTTTTTTTTTTTTCCTTTTCTTTTTTTTATGATTCTGTCACAAATACTTAAAAATAATCTTGGAAGGTGAGAAACAATAGGGTTATTGTTTCTTTTTTCCTTCATTTTTCTTCCCGACCTGGCTGAGTGCGTTGCTGAGAGCAGACTTGGCCTCTCTGCTCTCCCGTGCTCAGCAGGGAAAGTTGTGCTCCAAAGGGTTCTGTGTCTGTCTGCCCCTCGCCTGCCACATCTCCCCCTCTCCCCAGGATCTTGCATGGCCGGGCAAGTCCTCCCTTCTGGGAATGTGATGTGAGCAGTCTTGTTTGGAGCTTGGATGGAAACCTGAGATGGTTTGTGGGAGTCTCCCCATGCCAGCTGCCTCCCTTCCACAATTCCTTGCTTGTTGGGGAGCGTGTTTCCCTGCTGAGGCTGGGGAGAAGGATGCTCTCCCAGGAAACCTGCCCTGCCTTGTTGCTGGCGTGCCTGGCAGACCATCTTCTGATGCCTGCCTGCGCATCTCTCCCCAGGACTTTTACCCTTTTTCCATCCTTTTTCCAGAGCTGTGCCTGCTCGCCTTGGCTTTCCTGGGGAAGAGCAGCGTAACAACCTGTGCTGTAGTCCCCATCCTGCAAAATCGGCAGGAACAAGATCAGCCAGAAAAGGTACAGGGAGTCTCAAAACCTAGCGACCTGCTAGCTGGCTTCCTCCGGGTCTCTGGAGCATCTCTCAGCTCCGGAGCTGAACTTTTTCCCATTGCTGGTCCGTGCTTTTCCTCGCTGCAGCGTTATGGTGTGTAGTTCTACAGAACTGTCAGCCTATGACCCACAGACTGGATTTCTGCAGACGTGCTCTTGTATCTTGCTAAAGCAAACTGCCTGCCGTGCTTACAGCTGGCACCGAAGTTGTTTTCTTTGGAGTGGGTTTTAGCTGTTCTTCAACCACAGGCTTATGCCTAGCAAAACTGATGAACCAGTATTTGCTGCTGCCTTCTCCGGAGCTGTGTGATGTGGCAGCCAGGCTGGGTGGGATCCACGGGACTGACCCCTCTGCCTTGCTCCTTCCCCACCTTTTCCTCTTTTTGTGCATGCCAGAGGATGCTCCAGGGACCTTGCAACCTCTTTTCCTCCCTCCAGCAAGAGAAGACATAGCAGCTTGTGAATGCACAGGCATAATGGTACCAACGCGCGGCAGGCAGTGCAGTGTCTGGTCTGACTGGGGAGATGCTGGTGGCTCTGGGCTGGGCTGGAGGGCAGCCGGGTGGCTGCAGGGAGATGGTCCCCACACCACCTCCTGCTCGCTGAGCAGCTGCTGCAAGAGGCACTTACAGTCAAGATAAAGGAAATGGAGAACTTCTGGACTGAAGTTCTGGCCGGGTTTGGTGGGATCACATGGTCGGGAGCAGATCTGGCCGGAGGCGCAGCCCAGGCACGTGCATATGGCGGAAAACACAGCTTGCGCCGTTTGTGCCTTGGAGGCTCTCAGTGTTCCCGGGAGCTACAGATCCTCAGCTTGCGTTCAAAACGGAGAGGAGGGGAAAGCTTCCAGTGACTCAAGTATTGTGTTGCTTAACAGCAATCAGATGTGTGCCGTTTGCGACTTGTTTTGCTCACCCTTTGCCAGTCACAAGCTTTCCTGAGCTCTTCCCAACAGGACGAGCAGGGCCAGAGGCACCTCTCCGCCATAGCGCAACACGGGTGTTTTGCAGGGTAACGGGGATGTGGCGTCATCCTTTATTTTCATGGACTGAGGGAAGAGCAGGAGGCCGTGGCGTGCCCAGGGAGGCTGGGGAAGTAGTGCTGCCCTGGGAGCCTGCGGTGCCTCAGGGAGGCGAGTCCTCCCTCGGCCGTGCTCGGGCTCGCTTTGTGGCTGCTGGTAACGTTACCGCAGTCCCCAGTTATTGCTGAGTCTGGAGTCATTTTATTTTGTTGTAAACCTTTTAAAATTTGTTTTAAGTAGAAGCTGTAAACAGGGTCCGTTTGTGCTTAGTGTCATCCTGGTTTTGAGTTGTCTTGTTTTCATTTTGAAGAGACTATTTGAGAGCGTCTTTTGGTTTTCCTGTTGTATTTGGGAGTGTTGGGGGAGTTTTTTATTTCTCTTCAAAATGTAGGAAAAATACCTCCTCCCTTCTGACCCCTCTCTACCAAACCTCAGGAATTTTATCCCGGTGCATTTGAGATCCAAGAAAAAAAATGCAAGTATTGCCTGAGCAGGGGTGTAGAGGGCTGTATCGACAAAAAGGGCTTAGCTTTAGCATTATAGTGCTTTAAACAAGCTCGTGTCTAGCAGTAGAGGAGAACACAGCCCTTAGCTAGGAGCGGAGACCTCCTGTAAAAAGCATGTGGAAAAATAAGTGCCAAAGAACAAGAGCCGTGAAAAGCAGGGAGCCAGGTGGGACACATCCCCAGGGGGTCCTGGGACCCCAGAGTCTGGCCCTGCATGGACTCCCCATGGTGAAGGGGCTCCTGGCGTTACGTGACAGAGCAGCAGACAGGAGGGAGCGTGGCTTGTGCCTCTGGCTGCTTGGTGGTGCCCATCCTCATGCCTCTCATGGGATGAATGGCTCGGGCTCTTTGGTTGCATAGTTTCCTCTTTGCATGAAATACTTTAAATATTAATTGGGCCAGAGGAGAATGGCTGTTTAGACTTTGTAGGTGCTCAGGACACTTCCTAGGCAGGTGGTCTCCAGTGCTTCCATAAGTGCTTAATTATTTATGCAGAGTGCGATAGCTCCAATAGGAGAGAGCAAGACCCATTTCAAATACCCTGGGACCAGGGAGCTCTTCAGGTGATGGGAAACAGAGCTCAGATCCATGCCCCAGAGAAAACAAGGGAGAGCTTGCTTTTCCCTCCCCATCCTTCCAAAGGAGGGAATATCTGAGTGGTTGGATGGATGCTCTTTCTCCTCTTCTGCTCTGTGTAAAGTGCAAAGCCCAATCCAAATGGTGTTTTCCAGCAAGACCAAGTAAAGGAAATGCTGAGGATGTGGATCCTGCCAGGGCATTGGTACTGAGCGTCATAGCAGCTGCAAGGAAGTTGTGTGCCTGTGCTGAAGCACCAGGGCAGGCACCCAGCAAGAGCAGGAGCCGGTTATCACCTCTCTTTGATGACTAAACTTACTAAGTGCAATTGCATCAGTCAGGAAATTATTTATTTAATGCTGAAGATCCCATAAAACATTCATCCCTCAAAGCCTGTATAGCACAAAGCATTCCCCAAACTTGACGTATAACTTTATGGCCTTTTGCAGGCAAACATGAGTTGGTGCTGTGAGTCCAAGTCAGCTGTAGTCCAGGAACTGTGTCAGTGCTGTGCAATGCTTGAGCTAATAAGCTTAAAATATTACTTTTTTGAGGAGCTTCTGAGATCTATTGACCGAAGTCCATCCAGATGAAACTTAATAGTTGCAGAAATGCAGGTTACATAAATCACCCATGCTAAGCAGAATGATAGTGATGAGCAACAACAGTGATAAGAAATGTCTTGAAAATAGTAGAGATGACGCTAAGATCTTGTGCTTCTGGCACTGCTTTGGATGTGATTCCCTCGGTGCTGCAGGTCACTGTGCCCTGACTGATGGTGCTACGTATGATGTCTCAGGACACTGCTGGTTTGGAGAAAGAGTTTCGTCTCCTCCTGGGGAGAGTGGCTTTGTGTCGTGCAAGTTAGTTGCTGACTTTAATCACCTCTCTTGCATTTCCTTTTCTAGATGCAAATGCTGGACAAGTTTCCAATGGAAGGGGGGCAGAAGGACCCCAAGCAAAGGATCATCCCTTTTCTGCCAGGTAGGCCAGTGGGCTCCAGCAAAAAATATGCTGATTTTGGCACAGCAGGAGCTTTTTCCCAGTCCATGTATGAGCATACGTGTGTGTTAGCTCTTATCTCCTGAACCATCTGAGCAATAGCAAGTTCTTTGCCTGCACCGTATCCATTAAAACATCTGTATTTGTTAGCAATGTGCCTAGTGAGTGTTAAACCCCTCAAACATACTCTCTCCCTCCAAAAGTCATTAGTGGAGGACTTCAGCTAAGCAACCCCACTTGCCCAGCTTCTGCCAGGAGCATCCCCTGCAGCAGCCTCCTTGTTTTTGGAAGGTTCCTGGCCAGCACAGCACGGGGCTGAGGATGGTGTGAGGCTCCCCAGGAACTGCTCACACGCTGTTTTTCAGGTCCCATGCAGCTCAAAGGGCCATCCAGAGAGAAGGAAATAGCAATTGAATTCCAAACGTTAAATCAAGCTGATTGACAGCCTTGGCTTCCTCCCATGATGTTCGGGACTGGTTGCTCAAAGATAGGATTTCTGTGGCGTGACGTGTTCCCATGCCTGCCCAACGTGCAGCTGAGCGTTTGTGTACCCAAGGAACAAATGCAGTGGGCCTTTGCAAACTTTGTGGTGTGGGCGGTTGCTTGTGGCTGCCCTTTGGTGCTGCTGCTACAGGGGAAAAAAGAACCCTAATGTGCCTTGCAAAAATAACCAGCTTGAGGGGGCCCTGGGAGTCTTTCGTACACCCATAGCTAATGGCTTTGACCACAGAGTTGTCTTTACCCCCACCCCCAAGTAGCTAATGGGCATGTTTAGAAATGTCACGGTACTATAATCACTTCCAGTGACTGTCAGATCCACTTAGCGCAGCCCTTTGTGCTGTGCTCTTCCTCTTGGCTTTTTTAGAAACATAAAGGCGTTTAGTGGGCTTTACTTTTCTCTGACTGGCGTGAAGAAAATCATTTACGCCCCTTTCTGAGCAAGAGAATCTTGTCTGGGTTTCCCGCAGAGGGATTTCTGATTCTGGCTTGTCCTTGTCTTGTAACATCAGCAAAAGCAAAGCACACCTGACATTAATACGGCAGAAAAGCCTTTGCTGTACAAGTACTCCTGCCAGCAAGGAGTGAGGAGGAAAAATGGAGCCAAATTGGCAAAGGGCATAACTTGGAAAAATTGGACATACCGTTTGGCTGTGCTGCACTTGCAGAAATTTCCCACCAAAATGCTGCTATTTTTGGAAGGCAGCGATCGGGCTCGGGAAGGCTGGTCGGAGCACTGCTTCTCACAGCACACTCATCAATATTCACTGCTGCTTCTTGGTGTTGAAATAGTTTCCCTTCGCTAAGAGGCATGTCACTGGGATTTCCGTTGGAGGAAAAAGGGGGTTGAAGTTGCTGGAAAATAAAGCCTGGCTCTTGTGTCGGAAAGCAGTTTTGGGGAGTTGGGATGACCATCCTCTAGAAGAGCTCATGCATTTGTGTGTGTCCTCTGCAGAGATGTGTGCCCTTTTGCTCTGGTCCCCTTTTTACAATGGGATTCAATAATACCTTTTTCAGAGGTAGTCACATATTGACTTGGAAAACTGCTAGTCTAGACTTCTCCCAGAAATTTTTCTTGACGTTTCATTTCTGCAGTCGTTTGCGATAGCTAAGAAGAGAGAGACTATTTATGCCTAACAGCTGGCACCTGCAGCTTTACCGCTTGTACTTTCCACTGCCAGCACAGAGCAAGGGGTGGTGTGGTGAGAAGATCCCAGCATGGGATGCTGTCCTAGCTCTGAGCAGGAGCTAGCCACTGGAAAGACAGATAATCTTGCATCTGCCTCCTCAGGGGACAGCTTCAGAAGTCCTCTTGCTTCAGGGAAGTCATGTTTTAAAGAAGTGGGAATCATGTTGGCTTTGCCTTCCTGCCTTTGCTGTGCATCACGGAGCGGTCGGGAGCTGGTGGCAATGAGCCGAACCTCCGCCGTGAGATAGCTTGCAAGCTGTGTCTGCTTCTGAAAGAGGACTTCACTTGGGGGTAAGGGAAGGCTCTTTTAATAATTGCTGGCTGTGCTAGAGGATGTGCAAAGCAGTGCGGTTCCTTTCTGGAGCAGTTCTTGGCCTTCCCAGTTTGGGAATGGCAATGGGCTTTGTTACTTACAGGTGAACCCAAACTTCTCTCTCTGCCTAGGGGTGCCATCCAGGTGAGCTCGGTGCAAACAGCCTGGGTCTCTTTCTCTGCATAATGTGGCTCTAGTATGCTTAGACTTGCTAGGGTTTTGATTATGTTCATTTTCTGTGAGTACTGTAGTTTGCTCCCAATTTCATTTTGAGCAACATTTTTAGCATCTGAATTTCATTACCAGTGGAGATTTGGCTGCAGTGGTTTACTGAAAGTACACTGCTTTCTGGGAAGTCCGTTGTAGAGTAACATTAGACATTGTGGCCACTGCAATTCTCAAACATGTGTCCTGCAACCCTGTGCTTCCTGCAGCTTTGGCTTTCCTAGCAAAACCCTAAGTGTCCCAAACTCAGAGTCACCACCACAACATGAGAAGGTGCCATCTGGGTTTGTCTATCAGGCCAGTTTCCTGGAATGGGAAGAGAGTTCCATGATTACTCCATAGTTACAACATCCACCCCACAGGAACTCTGCTTGCTTTGTGTTGCTTTGTTTTGTTAATGTTTGCTTCGAGGATTTGACTTCTTGGAAATATCTGGAGACTGCAAGTCTTTTGAAGTAGGTCTCTGATGGTATCAGAAAATGCTCCTGTAAGTACAAGTCCTTCAGCCCACTCAGCTCTTCTAAAATGGAGTCATAAAGCTGGATCCTCAAAAACGGAGCAGAGCAATTGCACTTGAGGTTTGAGGCCAAGGGTTGTCCCTTCCTGGGTGTTGGCACCACACTCATCCCGTAGCACAACTTGGTGGGGTCCGGTTTGGCCTGGCAGGACGTTGCAGTGCTCCTGTGCCATGCCTGAAAAGTTTCTGCCACCATATAGGGGAATTTGAAGTGGACTCTTGGCTACTTTTGCTGGCTTTGAGCCACCGGCACAGCCTGCCTAGCTTCATGTGGTGCTGAGGACGGCCCCTGGAAACAGCTCTGGTAGCACCCAGCTCATGCATGGCATCGACTCTGGTCCCTGGAGCGGACTCAGGAGCAGCTGGCAAGAGAGAAGAGACCTGTCACTGCCCGGCCCCAGGGACATCGTGCTGGGCAGCTCTGTCCTCGCCTGCAGGAGTCCACATTAAGGGTTACAGGCTTGTTGGCTGGGAGATGATGGTGTGGAGACCCCAGGAAAGAATGAACTAAGAAAACAAATGAGCTCAGTTGGTCCCGCTGTGTAAGGGCTGTGCCAGATCTTTCAGGAAACAGCTTTTATAAGGAGAGTGGAGCCTTCCAAACTTTGTACAGCCCGAGTGGCCTGGAGCAGATCCTGGCCAGTCTGCTTCGCTGGAAACGTGAGCCTCGGCAAGGAGGGGTTGCCTGAGGCTGAGCTAACTTTGGCTGTAAAATTGCTTTTTAGGAAGCTTTAGCTACAGACAACAGTGAACTCCCAAGAAGGGAGGAGGAGAAAGGGGGTTCAGTGGGATCATTTTAAAAAGCAGAATGATGCCTCCTTTCTACTCCCTTCTCAGCCTGCTAACCTGCTCAGCATGGGCATCAGTGCTGCCCACATACTCTGGGACTTTTCTCCCAGAACACCTGTGAGGAAGCCATTAGCTCCCCACACAGGCCCCATGAAGGAGATGGAGGACAACTCATCCATTTTCCAGCTACAGTACCTGACTTTCCCCAGTCCCATTGTGTCTCCATCACAGCTGGAGATGGGGCAAGGGTCCTAAGTGCTATTTTCTGCTCTAGCAAGATGGGCATTTCTGCTGTAGCGCTGTTGGGTGGACAGTCCCAGAGTAGCTTGCAGCCCATAATCAGCATGGTTGCCTTTGCTGTAGGGTTTCAGCTAACCCTGCTGATGTGCAGACAGTATTACCCCAGGCAGAGTGCTGTGCCGAAGCACTTGCTGTGCTTCTGACCTTTGAGCCCTCTTTAAACAAACTACCTTTTTTCTCGTGGCACTGTAGGCTGTAGGCGAAATGGCCTTGGGAACATTTTGCTCCAGTGAACTCTTACATTTCTCAGTGAGCTCTTGCATGGATGGGTTGCAGTAGGGCTTTGGAGAAGGTTTTGGGGCATCTTTCAATGCAGTTCCACTCTCTCGATCATGAAGAAAAGCTGCTGAGTCTGATGGGATAGCCAGAAATCAAAGGATTTACTAAGCAGAAGACTGCCTTTCCTTCTTGTCTTCCTCTCAAGCCTTTGTCTTTGCAAAAGTGTCTTTTTTTGTGTAGGAAGGGCAGCAAGGCCATTGCTGTCCTGTGATAGCAAAAAGCGAGCTGTTTGGGGTAGGAAGCCAAGATACTGAGGTTTGCTTGCTGAGCTGGGTGGAGAAGAAAAACTGTCTTCTCTTGCATCAACAAACAGACCCAGTGATGCTCTGAAGAGCTTTGCTGTTTTAGCGCAGGCCAAAATGCTTCTCCTGTATCATAGGTAGCACCCCTTGGGGCCTTGGGTACTCCCCGCTCTCTTTTCTTCCATCTCTTTGACCTATTCCTCTGGCCACCTCATCCAGCGCCTGAGAGACGTCTTGCCCCATCTCTTGTTGTGCTCTGTAGTTTTCTCAGTAATTTTTGGCAAATAAATAGGACTAACTGTGTTCCCTCCAGCAGGATCTCAAACTGTGAGAGTGTAAGGGGCTGTCTTGATGGGAGCACTGTTTAATTTGGCTTCATTTCACAATGTATGGAACTCCATGCCTATGCTATGCCCAGAGGCACGTTGCTGGTTCCCCCCCTTTTCTCCAGGAGATGCGCACAGCTCAGGACTTTGCCAAACAGATGCTAAGTGCGGGGCTCCTGGAAACGCTGTCTTCCATGTCTGCTTCCCCACCCTAGGAATAGCCCCTGTAGCTGGCTGCTCCGAGGGCTGGGACTAATTATGTGTACATTTGGGGCTGCCTTTTTTTGAAGTGAGTTTGGAACCC